CTTTTTCTGAACCTTTTTCCGTGCCATTCTATCTTTATTGTGATCCACCACATATGGATGGGATTTGCAGGAGGCAGGCTCCCCATCTTGAAAAGACCAGCCAGAGTCTACACAGGCCAGAGCATAAAGATTGAGTAGAATACTTGTTACTGAGTTGCCTAAATAGCCGCTATTAAAATATTTAACAAGTGCATCCGGCAGCAGACATATTTATTAGCATCTCCGGTGTGGAATCAACCCGGGGAAAAGGGGTTCCTCAGCAGGGGATTATGGTTTATGTTAGTGTAGCTTCTTCCCCACTTTGCTGTCCTAAAACTGAGGTGGAGGGTCTCCGTAGGAGGGGATGCATGTGGGGAATGTGGGATCTGGGTACGAGGGGATGGGGGGGGGCATTTCCCTGGCTCCGTGCCGCCCATCTTTCCCAGGCACCGCCCCCACTGCTTCCATTGGCTGTGATTCCAGCCAATGGGAGCAGTGAGGAAAGCCTCCAGGTGAGCAGTTTCCTGCGCAGCTGCTCCCTCAGCTGGGAACAGGCAGAGCAGCAGCAGGTACAGCAGCACATGGAGCTGATTCCTAGCCCCCCCGGGAGGCCTGCCCCTCCCAGTGGGAAGCTGGCGCTCCAACCCTGCCGAGGGGAACCATGGGGCTGGAACACCAGTGCAGGCTCCATGTGGCAGGGGGGGGAGAGCCCCAAATCCACAAGCCACACTTTGAGAACCACTGAGCTAAACCAACCAACCAACCAAAAAACAAAACAAAAAACCAAACCAAGTCACTCTCTTACTGGAATCAGAGTTTCCACATGGGGGTTGTACTGGTATAACCCTGCCTATTTCAAGGGGACCGTTTTCCCATGTAGACAAACCCTGAGTGTAAACGAGAGTCACACCCTTTTGTCTCAGCCGTTCCCAGACCCAAACACATCCTGTTCTTTCTGCCTCCTTTGTACCCAGTATCCATCTGGGCATTCAACGCTCCCCCACTAATGGCCAGGGACTTTCTACCCTCCATGACCCCAGCTCTTATGGCTTCATTAGAGGAAGCAGAATCCATTGAGACAATCAGATAACGGCCTTTCAATCTGTCACAACGATTAGGAGGCGGCATCGCTTCGGAGGTCAAAGTACATCCTCCTTGGCTTTCATCAACAGCCAAAAAGGTCTCACCCCAAGGCACAAAAGCACTTCAAAGAATGTAGACTCCAACAAGCCTTGAAAGGGGGCAGCAGAGGAGAGGCAGCTGCATGAGGAAGTTAAAGGCTTCTCCATTAGCACCATGTAGCCAGGAGACTGGGCCTAGCCAAACACAACCCAACCAAAACCTGAGATAGGAAACGACGGAGCTCCACAGCTCAAGTTATTCAGGGAGAATCAGAACACTAGAACTGGAAGGGACTTTGGGAGGCCATCAAGTCCAGTCCCCTGCACTCACGACAGGACCAAGAACCATCTAGATCAGGGCTACTCAACTTTGGAAGCCCCGGGGGCCACAGTAATACAGTACATGCCGAGAGCCGCAACTTAAGTGTGGTTGCATATACATGCAAATATATATGCAAATAGTTTTTTTCACACAGGAACGAATACAAAGATTAAGGCAAGACTACACAACATGCAGGCCCCATTTAAGTCAGTTCTGCTGATATTAATTAAATGCAATATTTACCCAATTTCCACCCATATGACAGCACTTTTAATAAGCAATGACAGTCCAGGAATTTAACTACTAAAACGCACGTCAACAGAAGACCATTATATTGACTCGCCCTTGTGCAGCGTGTTCCCAATGGAGGCCATGTTCAAAGGATCCCACTTGTGGGCCGCGTGTTCAGCCCCACGTAAACCCAAACTGCACCGTGGGCCACAAACAAACAGGCTCCAGGCCGCATTCGGCCCGTGGGCCACATATTGAGTAGCCCTGATCTAGATCATTCCTGATAAGATGCTTGTCTAACCTGCTCTTAAATATCTCCAGTGATGGAGATTCCACAACCTCCCTGGGCAGTTTATTCCAGTGTTTAACCACCTTGACAGGTAGGAAGTTTTTCCCAATGTCCAACCTAAACCTCTCTTGCTGCAGTTTAAGCCCATTGCTTCTTGTCCTATCCTCATAGGCCAAGAAGAACAATTTTTCTTCCTCTTCCTTGTGACACCCTTTTAGATACCTAAAAACCGCTGTCATGTCCCCTCTCAGCCTTCTCCTTTCCAAACAAAACAATCCCAATTCTTTCAGTCTTCCTTCATAGCTCATGTTCTCTAGACCTTTCATCATTCTTGTTGCTCTTCTCTGGGCCTTCTCCAATTTCTCCACATCTTTCTTGAAATGTGGTGCCCAGAACTGGACACAATACTCCAACTGAGGCCTAATCGGCCCAGAATAGAGCAGAAGAATGACTTCTCATGTCTTGGGAAGAGTATGTGTCTCGTGTCTACACTGTGCTCCTGCCTCATCTGTGGGTTGTCTCCACCTGTCATCTATTGCCTTCAGCTTAGAGCGGGAGCTCTTCAAGGCAGGAAAGCTCTGTTTCATGTTTGCACAGCATCTAACATGACCGGGATGCAGCATCCACTACACAGATAAATAAAACAAACTCCTGGTGATAGTGATGAAATCAGGGGTTTCCCCTTCTCTTGCACATCACATGGACTCACAGACAAGCAGGCAGGCCAGCCATGGGAGCAGCCCATGCAAGACTTTTTGCCCCTTGACACAAAGCAACTCCTGATAGCTGTGAACAGACACCCCCGCCCCCCACCAATGAAACAAACCTGAAAACAAACCTAGTGTAGCACAGCAACGCTAAGTTCTTGGACAGATGTGATCATGGAGCGTGATTGCCACAAGTATCAATATAGTGAGTGTTTGGTTTGGCACAGGAACGTAATCACTTACCCCTAATGGCTTTTCCTTCAAACAGGAGTAGCCAATAGAGCTATTTGTTAAAGGAAATGTACCGAGAAAAACAATCATTCACAAACAGTTGCTTCCCAAGTCTTAACTTGCTCTGGAAGAGGAGCTGGATTCAGGAAAATGTAACTTCCCTTTTTAATCAATATCTGCTCCCAATATTACAGCACAGGATTCATTTTCAATCCACCTTCTGTAGCTTAATAGAGTTACCGACATGGTTCAGTATGTACTAAGGATGTGAACAACTAGTCAACTATCCAAAAAGCAAATGCTTATCGGATAGTCGACACACTAGTCGACTAGTCGCTCCCCCTCCCTTGCTGCCTCTATCAGAAACAGGCAGCAAAGGGTGGGGGGGGGGAGAAGAGAGGGTGCTTCAAAGCGGCAGCACCGCATGGAGCCCAGGGCCAGACCCCAGTCTCCACGTGGCATTGCCACTTTGAAATGCCGTGTGCATCCCAGGGCCAGCTGAGTCTCCAGCTGGCCTGGGTTGCACATGGCATTTCAAAGCAGCAGCGCCGCGTGGAGCTTGGGCTCAGCTGGGGACTCCCCCGCTGACCCCGGGCTCAAGGTGGTGCTGCCGCTTTGAAATGCCGTGGGAAGTATGGGGCCAGCAGGGTACTGCAGAGTCCCCACTGGCCCTGTGCTCCCTGCAGCGTTTTCGCCTTTGAAGTGTAGCAACTGCTCTGGGACTGTTGCTACACTTTAAAAGTGAAGGCGCCCTTATCGACTAATCAAATACGACTATTCGATTAGCCAATTAATCCAAATATAACATCCCTAGTATGTACATATATTGCCTTTCAGCTATGAATCACACAACACTTTATAACCATCAATTAAATCTCATGCAGTATCCCAGGTCAAATGTCATGATTCCCATTTACAGGTGAGGAAACTGAAAGCCAGAGAAATGAAGGGGCATGCCCAAGGTCACAGAGACAGTCAGCAGGACAACTGCAAAAAGCAGCCAGGAATCCCTACACCCAGGCCCGTTTTTAATGTGAGGCAATATTTTGCAGCAGAGAAACACTGCACCCACAAATACATTCTTCGGGTCTGATTTTCAGAGACTCTGAGCCAATGTTGCCTCTAATTTTTTCCATTCATGTGCAGAATACATTCTGTTCTGCGCACTGAGGCATGTGTGGATGTGCACCACCAGGAGAAACACATGCTGCCGGCTGTGGGTGCTCTGCTAATCAACTGGGCGGCATTTGAATCTCTCCTGGGCGGCCACGCTAGTGCTCAGCCAACCAGCTTCCCAGCACCTCTGGGAAAAAAAAAATCAGACTGCCAAATGCTATATTATGTATCTAAATACATAAAACTAGCTGACAGACGGTATTTTCTCTCCTGGTGCCCCTTCTTCCCAAGAGAACTGTTCCAGAACCTCCCTTAGTGCATTACCTAGCGTGGGGCACTGTTGGTTCTACTCCAGCAAATAGTGTTTGAAGTAACTACATGTGCGTATTTCCCACGCGTCGCTATTTAGCCTGGATTCTAAGTACCCACGGTCCAGGCCTGTTGTTTGCATGAGGAGATCTTGAAGAATAACAACACTAAGCCAGAGATGGCTGAGCAAAGCTCTTTTTAGAAAACTACGGTTGTTTGAGTTTCCATTACCATTGGCCCGAACAAAGGGCACTGGGAAAATAGATACACTGTGCTCCCCGAGGCTTAAGAATACATGTACGATAGGCTACTATTGGAAATTTGGAACAGTCGCTTTTCCCATTCACAGGTCACAGACCCTGCATTTTCCCAAAGCACAGGTCACGGCCCCTGCATTTTTCATCTGTCTGTATGATGGTTAATTTCACCACAGCACAAACTCAGCATTGAAACAACAGCCCCTGCACTTGACGTCCGGAGACTTGTCTAAAACCGGCAGCGGCTATCCAACATTCTGAACGCCAATGAAAACGTGTCCCTTAATTACCTCCCTAATTAGATGGTCCACGGTCCCTTTTCTCGCTCCTCCTCAGGAAATGGACATGGGACTTTTGTCCTAGTCAGCAAGGGGTCCCGAGAACATGTGCCAAGCAGACCTCCCATGCTTCTAATTAGGAGCTGGGCTCCACTCTCACTTAATGGGCCTTGGTACTTGATCCTTGGAAAAGTTGACATCTGGTACTTTAAGGGGCTGGAGGGCAGGGAACAAAGGAAGTCAGGGTTCTCCCGTAGTCACTGTTCCTGCCCATTCAGCCTGTGACTTTATTTGCAGCCAAGTAGATAGATTTGCTACTAATTAGAATGAAAGGTGATCAGGGAAAAGATTTTCTAATTTACACAAAGCCTTAGTTCGATACAAAGGGGCTCCTGGTTTCCCCCATGCCAATTATTTCTCTGTTTCTCTAGCACCCTGTACTTCCCACACACATTTTTTTCAGGAACAGAGAACTCGCATTCAAAAGATAACGTTGCCCAGGTCCGCTTTGGAAAACACATCTTTGTCTGCAGGTCGGTGTCATTGTCTCTCCCTTGAGAGACAGACAACATCTACATTAGCACAAATGCTCTCTTCTTGTGCGCATGGTGGGTAACTCTTTGGTATGGGAACACAACTTAAGAGTCGTGCAGTCCCTCTGAGGAGCGCATGCTGCCATTTGCTTGTCCTCTTTGTTTTCCAGCAGTTTTATTAGCCGCTCGGGGGATCTGTAGATGAAGATTAGCATGTGCATCATGTTACTCGACATCCGAGGATGTATACTGCTTACTAATGGAGATTATTCTTTTCAAAATTACTTCACTGAGACTGTACATTGGGCATAAAATAAATTGGAAGGTTGGAGAGCCCAGAAATTAACAATCATACTTGTGACTAAGGAAAGTCACCCAGGAGAGATTCAAATGGGGTGAAATGGAGTGAAATGTCCATTCACTGACAAAAATCGGGCCCAGCTGTATTGTTGACATCCTTTGTTCAAACCTACTGCACTGGAAATTCATCTGATGCCCCACTTGGGCCTGGAGGAACAACTAGGATACTCCTCCCATCTGATTAGTAGAGCAGTCACAGTGCCCCCAGCCAGCACATGTGTGTCTACTGGTGGTGCACATCCATACATACCTTGGTGCACATAAAATTTATTCCACACATGGATGGAAACAGCGAGAGAGAACATTGCCCACAACTCACTGGCATCAACATAAAGCTTTTCCAATTGATTTCACTGGGGACCTGAACACAGCCTGGATGGTACCCTGTGCTAGATGTTCTCTTAAGCCCAGATTCAGCAAAACACTCAATGTGCTTAAGTCCTATTTAAGTAATTTGGCTTTAAGCACTTGCTTAAGTTAAGCGTGTGCTTATATGCTTTGCTGAATGGGTCAACAAGCACATTCCGCAATGTTCCTGGACTCAGGCCCTACTAATCAGAGCTGAGTCAAGAACTGATTTTTCAGGTTGGTGACCAAGCTAAAAAAATCTACAAAAATTCAGTTTTGCACCAAACCATGAGGGCTTTGGAGGTTTTCCTTGAAAAATTGAAAGAAATTAAACCCGTTAGTGTGGCTCAAACAAGCCAGCCGCAAGGTCGACGTTTTCCATCCAACACCTGCTACCGAAGTGCCAATTCATACAGAAATTTCCTTTCAAAACGATGCCTTGGGACATTTTCTCTTGAACGGATATTTTCAGGGTTTCGCCCAGGTTTTTTTTCCAACCAAAACTATTTACTGAATTTGACCCACATTCACAAAGATGTTCAGAGCCCCCAAGAATGCATTTTGGGATGAAAAGCCCATTCACTGACAAAAATCGGCCCAGCTCTGTTGCGGACATCCTTTGCTCAAACCCACAGCAGTCTGGCCTGGGGGAACAACTAGGAGATCCCTCCCATAAATCACACCTCTTCACATGCACATCACTTTACACAAGTTAAAAATGAACCCTTTGCGAATGAAGTGGATTCCCTGGGAGAAATTACTTTCCCCAGCACCACAATTTCTTAGACAAAGGATGAAGGATTTGTTTTTTTAATCAGAAGGGATACCCTGGGTGCCATTGATGTGTCTATGCTATAAGATAGCAGCAACATTTCAGAGAGGTGTGTGCGCGGGGGGAGGGAGTGGAACAGTTTCACAATGTATCATTTCAAGAATGATTAAACGTCTAGAGAACATGACCTATGAAGGAAGACTGAAAGAACTGGTCTTGTTTAGTTTGGAAAAGAGGAGATTGAGGGGGGCCATGATAGCACTTTTCAGGTATCTAAAAGGATGTCACAAGGAGGAGGGAGAAAAAATGTTGTTCTTGGCATCTGAGGACAGGACAAGAAGTAATGGGCTTAAACTGCAGCAAGGGAGGTTTAGGTTGGACATTAGGAAAAACTTCCTAAATGTCAAGGTGGTTAAACACTGGAATAAATTGCCTAAGGAGGTTGTGGAATCTCAATCTCTGGAGATATTTAAGACTAGGTTAGATAAATGTCTATCAGGGATGGTCTAGACATTACTGGATCCTGCCATAGGGGCAGGGGACTGGACTCGACCTCTCGAGGTCCCTTCCAGTCCTAGTATTCTATGATTCTATGATTACCAGAGTCACTCCCTGATTGGGTAAATCACAAACTCCTGTTTGCTACAAATCCCTACGATTGTTAGTAATCTCCTGAACAATGAATAAATCAGACGTTAACCAAGTTCCCTTCTTAGGCCCTGTCTACACGAAACGGAAGATTGCCGCTCTTGTGATCGATCTTCCAGAGTTTGATTTAGCCAATTTAGTTAAGACTCGCTAAATCGACCTCAGAGGGCACCCCCACCAGTGGCCGGTACTCCTGCTTGCGCAAGGAGTAAGGGAAGCCAAGGGGAACCAATGGTTTAATTAAAGACTGCTTTGTGCGAAAGGCAGAAGAAGCCACTGACTGGTAGTTTGACAAGAGTGGGGGTCCTCTCCATGGGAATCTCCCTCTCCCCACTTTTCTCCATTAGTCACATTCCCTCTGGGTGTTTTCACCTTATGCTCTGCTCCCTTTTTGTCCAATAATCCCAGTGGGTTTTTTTTTATTGCTTGCCTTCTGCTCCTTGCTTTGTAACCCCTCCAAAGAGGAACAAAAACCCCTCTGCCACTTGACCTTACAACCCCACAAGGATATAGTTTTAGGCAAAAGGAGTTTCCGTCCCCAGCTGGGCACTACCCTCATGTGCCAGCATCTGAGAGTCTCATTAGCACCTTCTCCTGCTATGTATTTGCTTGAAACGACAAAAAGTGTCAGAAGCCGTGTGATGCCTCTCTTCGTGCCGTACTTGGGGATCCCCTTTCCCTTTGACAGGGGAAGGCGATTCACCATTTAGTGTAAGCGAAAGGGAGAGCCATCATTCAGGAAGGTAATGGGAGGCTGTGGAATCTCCATCACTGGAGATTTTTAGGAGCAGGTTAAACAAACACCTCTCAGAGATGGTGCAGGCCAGGAGTGGCCACCAAACCTCCACGGCGCAGAGGGAGCCTCAGATAGACTCCCTGCTTGCCACGCCCCCACACGCTGTGCAAAGCGGCCGGCAGCTGGGGTCATGTGTGTCTCTGCGTGTCACCTGTCCTTGATCGGGGGCTTTGTTCACTGTGCCACTCCCAGCACAATCTCACAGCTCCCATGTGCTGGTTTCTGGCCAATGGGCCGTGCCTGCAGTATAGGCAGTGCATGGAGGACACCTCTCAAGTGGCACGTGGTGCACAGAGATACACATCACCCCAGCAGCCAGCCACTTGGAGCGGTGTGCAGCGGCACGGCAGGTGAGGGTCCCGCTTGGCTGCTGGCTGAGAGCTGCCTAAGGTAAGTGCTTCCCAAGCAAAGCCTGCACTTGACACCCCGCTCCCTCCATCTCCCCAACCCTCTGCGCCCCCTCCTACACCTTTGCCTCAGGTCGCAACCCAAACTTACTGCACCCCCTACTACACTTTACTCCCGCACTTGACTCCAATCCCTGTCCCAGGTCACCGTTCCCTCCAAAACACTGGGCCTCCTCCTATGCCCCTCCTCCAAGTCAGAATCCTCTCCTGCATCCATACCTCCTCCCAGACTCTACACCCAGAGCCGGTCTTAGGGGCAGGCAAGCTGGGCAGTTGCCCAGGGCCACCATTTTCAAGGGGACAGAGCCAGTCTCAGGGGCGTGCTGCGACCGCATTTCGGTCCCGACCTCCCGAATCCTCCCTGCAGGTTTCCCTGGTTACTCCCCGACCCTTTTTTGTACTAACACCCATGGAACAAAGCAAAAAGTGCTGTAGAGTCAGGATCACTTCCCTCACTCCCTAGCAATGACTGGAGCTGTAAATCTAGTCCCCTTTAACAAGTCCCTACATAGCCAGACGAAAGACACCGTGCATTGCACTACTCCCGTAACAGCAGAGTAACGGCTTGGCCATTATTTCACCGCGACACAGATCCTGCAGCTCCCTCAATCTGGCTGGGAACCCCCTCAATCCTATTGTCTCTTTTCCAGCCACACCCCGCTCTCTCCAATCCTTTCATTCCCACAGGTAGAGCTGGCCAGAAGGCTCATGGAAAGGATGGTTCTGCTGACGTCCGAGCTGGGTTACCAAGGGGCTTCAAATCCAGCGCGCTCATCAAGAAGGGTGTTGGATTTCCCAGCGACAGGACTCAGAGTAAATTACGTCGGCCTTTTCGTCTGACGGCAATGCCAGAAATGAAGCTGTAATGAGCCGACAAGCCCGGAGGGTTGCCTTCCCTTGGAAATGAGGCGCTGTTCCGGTTTGAAGCCGCCTCCCTCATCGCCCAGGCCTGGCTCAGGAATCCAGCTTGTTTCTGGGAGCAGGGCAGATGGCTGAGCTGAAGACAGAGCCATTTACATAGCGACCTGCCGTTTGGAAGTATTGGGTGAACCAGGCTGTATAAACAAGGGCCCCTCTCCCTCAGGGAGTTTGCAAAGTACAAAGAAGTCAAGCACAGGCAGACAGACTCATGCAGGGTACGTCTACACTGTACCTAGGAAAGAACCTCAGAGAGCCCTGAGCCAGATTTACTTTGCGATTTCACAGGGACTTGTCTGAGCCTGGATCTCAAGGCTACACACCCGATGTGGATCAAAGCCCAAGAAACAATCAATTTGTCCAGAGCCTCCCACACCTAAGGCACCAGCTTCCTCATGGCTCTTCCCCACCTTCTGACCCAGGCATTTAAACAGGCATTGCCAAAGCAAGCGAAGTCCCCTCCGACAGCAGCAGGGAGCCCCGCCAATGAAGCACAGAGGAGTGTCTATGGGGGGAGGAGGGGACAGGCTCACTGCAGATCACAGACATCAGGGGAAAGGGGAAACATCCTCTGAGGCGAGCAGAGGAAACACCCTCGCTCTGCTTCCTCTCCCACGGCCGAAGTCGGCCTCAGCTGTAATAATACACAGAGACAAGGCCTAAGATGCTTCCCCTACGCGAGTGAAAGAGGCACATGGATGAATAGAAAGGGCAACGTATACTGAAAGTAGACAGGTATGGGCCCCCCGGGTATATTTTTAGCTCTTTGATCAACAGCCCTTATGGTCTGATCCACCCAGGTGCCAAACAAGCATTTAAGCTGCCCATAGGCTTGCAGGACTCAGTCCTTGATGGGAAGACCCTGGTTGTATCCAAACCCTCAGTGTTCCCTGAGGAACTTGGGCGGCCACTCAGGAGAGATTCAGGTAGCACCCAGACGATTAGCAGAGCACCCACAGCTGCCCGCATGTATTTCTAATGGTGGTGCACATCTGCACTTGCCTTGGTGCACAGAACAAAATTTAAACTGCACACAGGTGGAAAAAGTTAGAGGGAACACGGTCCACCCTAGTAGTATCTGTGCTGGAACCAACCTGCTGGAGGGAGACACACATGTGACAATCAAGGCATGGAGAGAGACAGACACTGCACTACATTTCAACCTAGCCATCGGGGAAAAAGGAGCCAGGCTATGGGGGTTTGCATCCAAAGAGTGCGAAATTAGCTGATCTGGTAGAGAACCAGGTGAGACTCAGAGGTTTTGATCGTTTCCCTTTGAGAGGTCAGACGTGAACCCCAATCTCAGAGCCACACCTGGGAAGTGCAATCCACGGAGGCTGAAGCTGGCCAAACCAGGCAAAGACTGCAGGCAGAGAGGTGCTGAGCTTCACACAGCTCTGGCTAAACCAGCAGCCCTGCATCCGATCAGGGCCCGGTGGGACATGGAGCCAGAGAGACACCCAATGAGAGCTCCACAGCCAGCTATGTAGGGAGAGATTCCGGCGAGTTGCCAGACTCCACAAGCACCTCCTGCTTGGAGGGGCGCGTGGAGAAGAAAAGCAGAGTGGGCAGGTGGGGGTAAAGCCCAAGAGGCCTGTCTCTTAATGTTTCCCTTTTATCATGCGGGCATATTTAATAGTCGTTTCTAAAGAGATCGGGAGGGAGGGAGACAATAAACCAGCTTTAAACACATCATCTTTTAACATTCTTCAAGCATCAACCTTTTGACCCAACATTGTTAGAACATCCCCCTCTCCCCCTTCCAGTGGTCTCCCAAAGGAATCCGCCGTCCGTACCATGCGAAGACAGCTCTCTGCCCCGCCTGCCATTTGAGGGACTTCCATTCATTCTCTGAGCCACGGACCAGATGGGTGGCTAAATAAACAGAAAGACACCTGCTGCGGGCAACAGTGTTTATGCCCTTTTGGGCTTGTGTTTGGAGGTGCTCGGGGATACTTTGGGAGGTGGGGCTGTGTGTTAAATCTACACAGGCTAAAAAGATACCAGCGTAAAATATTCCAGAAGCGGGACAATTTTATGCTTGACAAGATGGCACAATTAACCCTTCATCTAAGCCTGGATATGTCAAATATTTCTTCTCTGGCAAGGTATTAGAAATAAACATACTTGGATGTGCGGAGTAGAGACCAGAGGACAGAATTCTACGGTTTACACTCTGACCTTGGATGTGCAAATGTTTCAAAAGCATAATCTGTGGGCAAACATGAAATGCATCCACACAGCAAGGTAAAACCCTGGCTTCCTCAGTACACATCTAAGACAATACCCAAACCCAACTGAAGTCAATGGAAAGACTGCCCCCAACATTGATTTGAATGAGCTTTGGATCAGGCTCTTTGTGTAAAATCTGTGAGATTTTTACAGTTGTCACGGCACCCATCGCAGCCTCACAGAACTTCATGCCCTGGGGAGTGGCTCCATCACACAAAGGGCAGGGCTATGTACACACAGTTAACAATTCTGGGGCTGAGTCCCCAAGAAGCACCAGCATCGGTCTATTGAGATGTGCCAGCTATGCCACTCAGGAAATGGAGGCAGGTAATGAGTTCAAGGGAAATCCAGCAGGGGTCGATTTATTGTGTCTAGTATAGAGATGATAAATCAACGGCCAAGCGCTCTCCCATGGACTTTGGTACTCCACGAAAATGAGAAGAGTAGGCGGAGTCAACAGGAGAACAACAGCTATCGACTTACCACGGTAAGCAGACCTATATTGACTTCAGCTACATTCTTCAGGTAGCTGAAGTCACGTAATTTAGGTCGACGGCCCATGGTAGCCTAGACAAGGCCTAACAAAGCACTGTAGGCAGTGTCCCCAGCTACATCAGCGTTGCATCTGGCTACCTAAATGGCATATGGCGCCTACACACCCATGAACCCAGCTCCACACCAGGCTGTGTGCCAATGACAGACCGAGAACAGCTAGTGCTAGCAATTTCTTCACAACATGTACAAAATGTGCGAAAACAATTGAAACACCAGGGGGCAAAATGATGAGAAAAGCTGATTTGGAAATGGATTCAGTTTGGCTCGAGACAGAAATCTGGAAAATTCGGGCCAGCACTAAAATGCCTTTGTCTCCACTGTAAAATAAATAGTAAGCAGAAGCAGAGCTGGGACCCGGCTCCTAAAGGCCCTCACCATCTGTGCACAGTCTGCAATAGGATTCCCCTTCACGCTCACTGAGCAACCTACAGTGAAGTGAGGGCTAACAGGAAAGTACAGGAGCTCTGTGCTGGGTAACACGCGGCCCTGTCCTTTATCGTAAGAGTTCTCAACCTTTCTCCTGAAAAACGCCATGGCCCAAACAACTGTTTTTCTGCATATAACAGCCAGGGCCAAGGTTAGGGGGTAGCAAGCAGGGTAACTGCCTGGGGTCGCACACCATAGGAGCCCCCCCCCAAAGCAAGTTGTTCAGGCTTTAGCCCCGGGTGGCAGCACGAGGGGCTTCAACAGCAGCTCACAGTCCTCCAGGCCCTCAGAAGAGAACTGCTGTATCCAATGGTGCTATCTGTTTTAAAGACCCAGGAATCCAGACTCTCTCAGGACAGAAGGGGGATGGGGGGGAAGGGGGAGAGGTCAATGTCTGTGAGCTAATGATATTAGAGGTGATAATTGGGGAAGCTATCTTTGTAATGGGTAAGATAATTAGCCTCTTTATTCAAATTTGTGTGTACATCACAACCACAGAAAAAAAGGAAAGATGCTGCTCATGTCTAAAAGGGGCGAGGGGCTTACCGTCTTCATGGCCTTCCCTGTTCCTCCGCCGGTGTCTCTCTCGCCTGTGGCTAACAACCGACTCTGTTCCCGTTTCGTTGTCCAGTCCATCTCGGCTGCTGGCAGCATTTGGGCTGTGAGAAAAGGGGGCAGAAGACAGTCTGGGGTCATTGAAAAAAAGGAAAGATGCTGCTCATGTCTAAAAGGGGCGAGGGGCTTACCGTCTTCATGGCCTTCCCTGTTCCTCCGCCGGTGTCTCTCTCGCCTGTGGCTAACAACCGACTCTGTTCCCGTTTCGTTGTCCAGTCCATCTCGGCTGCTGGCAGCATTTGGGCTGTGAGAAAAGGGGGCAGAAGACAGTCTGGGGTCATTAAACCAATCTGCAGATGCACCGAGTGTGCAGGAAGGGTGCTGCCTTTGCAGCCCCACAGAACGAACACAGATGACAGGGACAGCAGAGAGCAGCAATGCACATGTAACCCACACCTGTGAGGGTGGGGCACCGAGGCCACTTCCAGAGAGAATAGTGAGTCGGCTCGACAGCCTGAGTTACCAGTCAGCTGGCTTTTAGCTCATGCGGTAGAGCGGGGTGGGGAACCTAAGGCCGGATCTGGTCCCTGGCTTGCCTGGATATGGTCCCCAAAGCTCAGAGCTCCCCCCACCCCCCGCAGCATTGGGGAGCCCATGCTGGCACTCCAGCCCCATGCCTCCCTCCCCCACGGACACTCCGATTGGCTGTAATCGTGGCCAATCGGAGCATCAGCAGACGGTGCCTGGGAGCACTGGGGTACAAGAAGCAATGTGTGTCCCTGGGGAGCTGGGCCAGATAAATGCCATCTCCCTTCACCCAGACTTTGCACTCCCACCCTGCTCCTGCACCCCCACCCCCCCCTTCTGCCCAGTCCTCCATTCCTAGGCCACTCCTGTACCCGCTCTCCTTCTCACACCCCAAGCCTGCTTCCTGGTAGCCCTGTCCCGCACACTGAACCCCTCATTTTTGACCCACCCCAGAGCCTATGGGGGCTCACAAAATCTACTGGCCCAGCCCTGCCCCTGGCTCTGGTGTGTGAGGGAAATGGGGGAGAATGTCTTTGTGCTTCTCAGTCAGGAGCCATGTCAGTGAGGTGAGCCGTGGGTTTTGTGTGGCCCCCGACTGATTTTTCTGGGGGTTGGCAGCCCCTGGCCCAAAAAAGGTTCCTCACCCCCGCAGCAGAGGCTCATGCACTAAGCTTCAGAGATCCCCGGTTCAGATCCGCCCGTCACATTGGGATGTGGAAGGTTAACCGGTTAACCAGTAAGCATCACCCTTAATAGGGTTCCATTAACCGTTAACCAGGGGTGGGTGAAGCAAGATGGCAGAGGCTGCTCCAGGCCTGCAGGGGCCTCGCCGTGGACAGGGGCTGCTCCAGCTTCCAGAGCAGCCTCTGTCCGCGGGGAGCCCTGGCATCTCACAGGCAGGGATGGCTCCGGCCAGGCTGGAGGAGCCCCTCCCTGCAGCACGACGGGGGGATTCCAGCCCGGCCTCGGCAGGTCGGGGGGGCCTCTTCAATACAGTGGGGCTGTAGCAGTGCCCCCCGCCCACTAGCCCTTTCATCAGTTAACCAGTTAAATGTAACGTTTAAACGATTAACCAATTAAACAGGATGCTACATCCCTGGTTATGCAAGCGTCCCCACAGACTACCCCCCCAGGACACCTCGGTGCTGAGCTAGAGGCCGAGGGGACAGATCGGTCGCCCTGCCTTGGGAATGCACAGAGAGCATCACCTTCCCATTGAACAAAGCCCGTCTGACCCTCTAGCCCAGACCGCTACTGTGGTCCCAAGGGTCCAACAACCACACTGTTGTGAGAAGAAAGGGGAGTGTTTCCATGTGGATTTCAGCATATCTGGGGCCTGTTTTGGAGAGGCAAGCGGGAAGGCAGCTCTGACTGGTCGCACATCCACACAGGCGTTGGAAAGTACAGTCTGCGTTAGCAGAGCACCACGCTGGGAGCATAAACATCACAAACGCACCCTCAGCCTGCCTAGCTCAGGAGAGAGCACACCGCAGAGACTCTTAAAAAAAGGGTCATTTGTTCTCACACCCATTTCTATCCGGAAACACACACCTAACGTGCCCCAAGATTCTCTGAAGATCAAAGATCCAAGGCTGTGTCTACACTGGCATGAATTTCCGGAACTGCTTAAAATGGAATACTATTCCGTTTTCAGTTTTTCCGGAAAAGGAGTGTCTACATTGGCAGGCTGCTTTTCCGGAAAAGCCCTTTTTCCGGAAAAGCGTCTGTGGCCAATGTAGACGCGCTTTTCCGGAAAAGAGCCCCGATTGCCATTTTTGCGATCGGGGCTTTTTTCCAGAAAAGACTACTGGGCTGTCTACACTGGCCCTTTTCCAGAACAGTGTTCCGGAATAAGGACTTATGTCCGAGCGGGAGCAGAATAGTTTTTCCGGAATAGCGGCTGATTTTGTACAGTAGAGCATCGTTGCTTTTCCGGAAATTCAAGGGCCAGTGTAGACATAATGCCATTTTCTTAAAATTGCCCAGATTTGCTTTCAGTAGTCGCCGGGAGATCGATGCCAATTCCAGAAGTCTCCAGGCAACCCATCTCAATCCCTGTGTTACCTCAGCTACCCTCATTAGAGCTCAGTTGTACAGATTCCCTCCAAACCGTTATGGAGCGTTGACCCCAGCCAACTTTCACTTTCTGTTCCTCACTGCTGACTGACCCTAGACCTTCCTCCGCCAGTCCACAGCCTGACCTCCCGCCATCATGCCCTGCCTCTTCCGTGCTGGGTCGGGGAACGAGGGAGAGAGCAGGGGAGTTGGGTTCTGCTGTGAGCAACATCAAGGAGCAAGAGTGAAGAAGGGGCTGGTTGGGACTAGAGATGTTAAAACCAGTTGAATGTGATAACCTTAGGCTATGGCTACACTGTAGCCTTCTTCCGGAAAAGCTTATGCAAATCAAGTGCCGCGCTTCATTTGCATAATTAATTAGCAGTCGTTTTTGCGCAAGAGGCTTTTGCACAATAGGAGCTCTGTAGACGGCTCCTTTTTGCGCAAAACCCTCCTCTTGCGCAAGAGCCGTTCTTCCTCATTTATTCAGGGGATTTAACCATGCCAAAGTCCTGCCCTCACAGTATCTCTGAAAAGCCTTGCATATCCCTCTTCTGGGACAGCGTCCCAGTAATTTGCCAGCACCTAGATTTTCAGTGGAAATGTTGGGATGTAAGTCAGGGAAGAATTTGGCCTCAGAGACCTAAGGCTGCACTGCAAGAAGTAATGGCTCCCCACTCCCAGCCTTCAGGGGGCTGCTCCTCAGTCCAGCTATGCAAGGTCACCCATCACCCCGAGGTTAATAGCAGAGCCCCCTGCAATGGTTGCTAGCCAGTAACTGGGGCTGCCCCACAGAGCACTGGGCACGTAACCCCATTTACGAGCAGGTCTCTATTTCAAGACTACTGCTGAGGAAATGCGAAAGGGGAGCTGGTTGGAGCAGAGCAGAGGAGCTCCCCCCACATGCGGCCCCCAAACAGCATTAGCTTAAGTCCCAGAAATCAAACAGAACTTAAGTTACCCATGAGCAGAAACTCTAGCTTGAGGAGACAAATTACCTCTAGCTCAAGGTGTAGCCTTTCCCTCAGAGACTTGCCCAAGCCATACGACAACTGTGGCCCAGCTGGGAATTGTACCAAGTTCTTCAGAGTCCTGGATGAGAGCCCTTCTTGGTTGGTCTCCCCTTGGTTCCCTCAGATGGCTGCATTCACGTTTTAGGATGCTTTTCATAAAATACTAGAACTGGAAGGGACCTCAAGAGGTCATTGGGTCCAGTCCCCTGCCCTCACGGCAGGACCAAGCACCTTCTAGATCAAGGCTTCTCAACTTTGGAAGCCCCGGGGGCCACAATGATACTCATAGCACATGCCAAGGGCTGCAACTTAAGTGTGGTTGCATATACATGCAAATATATATGCAAGTATATGCAAATAGCTTCTTTCACAGGCACGAATACAAAGATTAAGGCAAGACTATACAACACGCAGGCTCCATTTAAGTCAGTTCTCTGGATATTAATAAAATGCAATATTTACCCAATTTTCACCCATAGAACAGCGCTTTTAATGAGCAATGTCAGTCTAGGAATTTAACTACTAAAACGCGTATCAACAGAAGACTATTATACTGACGACTTTTTTGTTTTGGCTCCCACCCGTGGGCTGCATGTTGAGCCTCGCATAAATCCAAACCGCACCGTGGACTGCAAACAAATGGACTGCAGGCCGCATGCAGCTCACGGGACATGTGTTGAGTAACCCTGTTCTAGATCATCCCTGGTAGATGCCCATCTAACCTTCTCTTAAATATGTCCAATGATGGAGATTCCACAACCCCTAAACAATTTAGTCCAGTGTTTAACCACCCTGATAGTTAGGAAGTTTTTCCTAATGTCCAACCTAAACCTCCCTTGCTGCAGTTTAAGCCCATTGCTTCTTGTCCTATTCTCAGAGGCCGAGGAGAACAATTTTTCTCCCTCCTCCTTGTAACACCCTTTTAGGTTCTTGAAAGCTGCTCTCATGTCCCCTCTCAGTCTTCTCTTTTCCAGACTAAACAAACCCAGTTCTTTCAATCTTCCCCCATAGGTCATGTGTTCTAGACCTTGAATCATTTTGGTTGCTTATCTCTGGATTCCCCCCCCCCCCCCAAAGATTTCAAATGGAGCATCTTTGTTTCAGCTATAGATAAAATAAGGCAGAAAAATAATTGCTAATTTTGGGGAGGCCATTTTTGACTCCACTAGAAAACACCATCATTGCCGCCAATTTTGTATGTGCCAAAGAGTCTGGGAACATGAAATATTTGTCTTAGGGACCAAAAAATTGTTTCACAAATGTCACACTCGTTATACCTCAGCAATTTATGCTCCAACACTAACTCATCCCAATCAGAGCCTGAATGGATTTCTGTATTCTAATAGCAGTTCAAGAGAGGATAAACGGCATACAGAGAATGCAATAAAAAGGATACAGTTAACGACTTTTTGGAAATGGCTCTATTGATTACAAGGGTTCGAACGGCAAAAGTGTTACGCAACTATTGTAGATGATCAATGGAGCTGAACAGCATATGTAATAAGTGTAGAGAGGATTTAAGAGGGCTAAAAGCCAATTATATGGGCATCTATTTAACACTGGTTTTCTCTTTGTCTCCTGGAGGGTTCTGTTTTATGTTCCATACAACGGCAAATTGGGAGTAAAACCATCAAATGAAAGACATTAATATTACACAGCTACTCCGTAGCAGCTTCCGGCTGAGGTTCTCAGACATTTTGCAAATGCT